AATCCGGTTTTTTTGCCTCGCGTGTTGGGGAGAGGAGCAGACGCAAGCTGGTCAAAATCATCGTTACTTTCTACCCTACTCGTTGTCATGGCTTCCCTTTTCTATTCATTTCCGGATAGAGCTCTGTTTCTCTACGGTTTAATAGCTCATATACCGCAGGCCTTTTGTAAATGCTGTCATGGGATTATTGTTCGCATTGCTATCATTATTAACGCTATCTATAATTCTTAGAAATCGCCACATTTGTTTCATATTGTTATTATCAACTTTATCACCAATCTATATCATTTCACACTGTCCTTATCATTCTAAAAATTATTTTCCGATCAATCCACAAGCAATTCCGGATTTTCCTGTTCTCTTTCTTCTTTCCCCAGTTATCAATATTTGATCATGTGTCTTTTACCAATGTTTTGCTTTAGCTTGATGTGAAAATTTGCGGTCCTCTGTGCTGTCTTTATTTCGCATCCTGTTGGCAAGAATCAGCAGCCTATGTGATAAAGATGATATTGATGATAATAATATTAACCCAGTTGGTACGTATGGCAGGAATACATGTCATGCCTACTGTAATACAAGTTTATTTATTGTATTTACACATAGATGGCTCTACAAGTGCTTAGTCATCAAGGAGTCAGTATTAGTCCTACCTATCTCACCTGTTTACCCTTTTCCTCGACTTTTGGAAAGGGTCTTTTGTATTATTTAATTATCATAAATGTTATCGAGATTTTAATAACAATTTAATAATCATAACATCAATAACAATAATAACAGTATCGATATCAACTGTATTAATAAGAAAAACGTATTTTCCCGCCAATTCAAGGAATGAGGAAATCAGGATCGGGGACTTGGGCTACTGATAGACTCCTTGCCGGCTGAGCACATGTGGAGCCATCTGTAGGTAACAACATGCACAAAAAATAAAGAGGACAAACATAATACAAATCCGGCGCGGTTGGGTTAATAATAAGGATAATAATAATGACAGTAATGATAAAAATAGATGAAGATAAAGATAAAGATAATGATAGTAATAATAATACTAATATTATGATAATAATAATAATTATTATTATTGTTATTATCATCATCATAACAAAAACAAAAACAGTAATATTAATAATAATAATAATAATAATAATAATAATAACAATAATAATAATTAATAATACTAATAATGATAACAACAACAGCAATAATGATAATATTACTAATAATAATAACAACGATAATATTACTATTATTACTTCTACTACTATTATACAATTATAACAATGTTGATAAATAAACATAATAATAAAAAATAATGACAAATAAACACAATAATAACATATACCATCTCCATCATTAGCACTATCATCATCACCGTCATCTTCATCGCCATTAGCATAAACATCCTCCTCCTCCTCCAGCATCACCACCAATAACATAATTACATGGCCATCTTCATCTTCACCCTCACCATCACCACTATCATCACCATCACCACCAAACGTCAGTACCATCACCATCCTCATCCAATGCCATCACCACCCTAACTATAAATACTCATCACCTCCACCAACACCCTCACCACAATCCTCACTATAAATCTTCCTCATCATCACCATCCTCACTAACCACCAGCACACGTCCTCACCATCCTCCTCTTCACTACAAATCTTCATCACCACCACCACCACAACTCACCCTCACTATAAACCCCATCACCATCACCCATTAACCAATACCCCCCCCACCGCCTCCCTCCCCCTCATTACTGACGGCCTCCCCTCCTCCCGCAGGTGAGGTCCTCGTGGTTGAGGCCCCCGTCTGCGCCGCCGTCAAGCCGGACGGGACTTTCCGGACGCACTGCTCGCACTGCCTCAGGCGCGCCCCTGTCCCGCTCCCCTGCCCCACGTGCTCGCTCGTGAGTATGGGCGAGTGACTGGGGAGAGGAATGAGTGAGTGACTGGGGAGAGGAATGAGTGAGTGACTGGGGAGAGGAATGAGTGAGTGACTGGGGAGAGGGCGGCTTAAGGAGGAATGGGTGACTGGGGAGAGGGCGGGTGAAGGAGGATTGAATGAATGAGTGATTGGGGGTGGATGGGGTTATGAGCTGGTGGGTAGTTGGGGAGTGAATGAGTGAATGAGGAATGAATAGATTTATGAGGCATCCGTAACTGAGGAAGGGATGAATGAAAGAGGTATTAATGAGTGATTGGGGAATCAGTGAGTAAATAAGGAATAGATGAATGAATGAATGAATGAATGGACGAGTGACTAAGGAATGAATGTAAATGAGGTATCAGTGAGTAAATTAGTAATTGAATTATTAAGGAGTTAATAAGGAATAAATCAGTAAATGACGAGTAAATGAATGAATGGAGTATCCGTGAGTAATTGGGGAATGAACGATTTAATGAGGTATTAACGAGAAACTGAGAAATGAATGAGAAAATGAGGTATAAATGAGGAATCGAGGAATGAAAGTGCAATGAATATTTGAAGAACGAATGACTAGCTTACGAATTCATAGCGTTGAAGGTATGAATGTTGAAGGACTAAAAGTAGTCGAAGGTAAGAAGCACCTTATAGAAGAGGGATACTGTTAACCGGGTTTTATTTCTGTTCTTATAAGGATTTAGGCAGATTACATCAATTTCTGTTTGTTAAGATGCCATCATTGCAAATCGGAGCGTAACCCATTCAAAGGATGCGGTTTCGTGTGTTACTATTGTGTAATATTTGTCTATTTATACCTATTTAACTGATGAGTCCACTCATCTCGAAAATCTATTCTCTTTCATTCAGCTTCAGGTTTACTAGTTGCGTAGACATAAATAAAACACAATAAATAAAGAGATAGGTAAAGTGTATTGAAACGGCCTTCCCATAACCGGCGTGCTTGCCTCCAGGTGGTGTTCTGCAGCGACCGCTGTCGGGCGGCGGGACTGCGCGCCTCCCACGGCGGCGAGTGCGCGATGCTGGCGCCGCTGGTGGCCCTGAAGCTGGACCCGGCGCCTCTCCTGGCCGCTAGGATCCTCGCCTCCACCACGCTCGAACAGCTGCGGGACACCCTGCGCCAGCTGCAGACCAACAGCACGGGGGGCAACAAGCCCCAGCTGGAGATCTCGGGAGGCTACCGCGCGCTCTACCACCTGGAGGGCCACGCCACCGCCCGCTCCGAGGCGCAGCTGCAGGAGGTCGCCGCCATGGCCTACATTCTGACGCGCGTCTTGCTAGAGAACAGCTCGATGTTCCTGAAGAATAAGGAGGGGAGCATCTCCATCCCCTCCCTGGACGACGTCGTCCTCATCGGAGGCCAGTTCATGCGCCTCATCCTGGGCCTGGAGTGCAACGTGCACTGCATGAAGGAGGTGGAGACCGGGGGCGGCCCGGCGGAGGGGGGCGTCCTGGGCCGGAGCCGCGGGCGGGAGGTGGGTTGGGCCGTCTACTCCGCCCTCAGCCTCATCAACCATTCGTGCGTGCCCAATGCGCTCACATCCTGCCTCGGAAGCACCAAGTTCCTGTACAGTGTCAGCGAGATTCCTCGCGGCGCCGAAATCACGGACAGCTACGGGGAGAGGTACGTAAGCCACGCCAGGGCGAAGCGTCGGGCCGAGCTGCAGCAACACTACTTCTTCTGCTGCAACTGCGCCGCGTGCCAAGGGGACTGGCCTCTCTTCGAAAACATCACCATTATGCCAAGCTTACGATGCCCATCGTGCTTCCAAAAACTGAACGGGTTTTCATGCAGTTTGTGTGACTTGGTTTGCAACCAAGATGCCGTGACCCAGACGGGAGTCCGCCTCTATGATGCTCAGAAGATCCAAACTGACCTGGGAAATCTGTGGACTGAGTATGCTCAGGCTTCCAAAACAATACGCAGTGGCAAGTCCTCTCAAGAATGCTTGTCCAAAGTCACTGACCTCCTCACCCTCCTGGACCGATACACAGTCCACCCCAACCAGGCCTACATCACCGCGCAGGAGACACTCATGACGTGTTTCGACCTCATGGGGTCAGTTTATATACAAGAAACTAACCAAACCAAATCTTCGGGCGGGAAAGAGTGACAGAAACTGATGCTTTGTTGAATGCTGTCGAGCTCAAGTGGTGAATTTGAATTTTTATGGCTGTCTGCAGAATGTGTTAGCATAGTGCATAGTATTCAACTGCTCTGGAAGAAAAAAATATTGTATATATAAAATTGTTATTATTGTTATGCCTAAATACATTTGGTAAATTTCCAGAGTTGCAATGTACAAACAAATTCTGTGATTTTTAGCTAAGCATCCATCAAAACCAGGGTTTCAGATGAGTTTTTTACATGCTGCATGTCACTAGTCTTGATGCTTTCTGAATGACTGCAAATGGAACAAAGTTAAGCAATAAACCTTTTGAAAAATAATAGATTTTTATATACCTTAAGCCTTATCTTCTACAATACTGTTTATGTAATAAATTTCTTCAAAAGGCAACTTGTCAGAAAGAAAACGTATATTTATCCTTCCCCTTTTTTCCCCTTCGTGCCATGTAAGACCAGCCATTATACAGACGGACAAACAATCTTTATTACCTCTAAATATAACCCTATTAATACATTGACAGCTTTTCTATAAGAAAATATTTTTCATCATTGTCATTCTGTCAGCCATATATAGTACATTACAAACAGACATTTTACATATCTTATAGGTAGAGGCATATATATACAGTTTCAAGTATATGTTTTCTATAATGGATAACTTGCAATGACATAAAACTTGAAGTCTCTCTTGCACTAATTATCCTTTTTTGTTTTATTATTATTATTTTTTTCAAGTCAGTTACACCTTACCTGAGTGTTTAAAATCAACCACTGATCAAAACATGTGTAAGTAAAAGAGTCCAAATTAAAAGAGTTAACTCTGTTTATTTAGTATCAATTCTGTACATTATGAATAAAAGTGAGGCCATAATACTCTTTACATAAATCTTCCTAGAAAAATTCTGTACATCTAAAAAACTAGTATACATTTTAAAGTTTGGCAGGAAGACCTTACTAGTTTTGTCATTGGTAAAATCTAGAAACCATAAGCACTTAGGAAAGAGCTTCCCCATTTTCTTGAACTATTTACAAGTTGCATGAATAAATAACCCAGGATGAACCAATGTGAAACAGGCTTCAAAATTCCTATTTCTGATATCTAGTGAGCAAATTGGTACATATACTGAGCAAACCAATTACACTGTATCGGGACGGGCAAATTTTATAACCACTGGTGAACACAATAATTTATAAACATCACTCAACAATGTCATTAACTTTTTAAAAAGAACGAAAATAAAAATATTGAAGTGACTAGAACAATTGTTACTTCCTACATACCAGGCACATACAATCACTTTATTTACCTATAAAACAAAAGAAAAAACAAAAAAACATTTTCAACAAATGCTGAAGTCTCATGTCGTCTTTCTCTTTAAAGACCTAAATACCAATATCATTACAGTAAACAAAATGTACACAGATATGTCTCTCCCTGTAAATACTGCACCTAAAGGCTGTGCAATTTTGCAAATAAACTAACCCTTTGTATGAAGGCTTATGCACAGTCCACTGTGAATTTATGTCACACACAAAAGGCACCACAAGTTCTCAGTCACCAAGAAGTCAATGAGTAGCCCTACATAACCTCACCTGCTTTCACCATTTCTCAACTTCTCCTAATCCTACTAATATCAATAATGCTATTATTATTGCTAACATACGATTATCATAAAATTATCAATACAATAACAATAAAATATACAAAAGCACTTTCTGAAAATCACGGACAAGGGTAAAAGGGTGAGATAAGTAAGACTAGTAATTGACACCTTGGTCACTAAGCACATGTGGAGCCGTCCATGTGTAATCAAAAATCAACTAACTATACACACAGTGGACATGGCACGTGTGTCATGTCATACCAGGACAAAGGGTTAACACACACACACACACAAAAAAAACAATAATTATAAAAAATAATAATAATAAAATAAAAATGATACAAGATTCCAATGGATGTTTCCCTATCACTTACCACATACGTCATCAAACCCTGTTGTACATGAACACCTAAATACAAAAATAGATTCCCTCCCAACACGAGTGCAAAAATTTCTCGGTTAATCTTGACTTCTACCCAAACAGATGCTGAATTTCTCCGACATTGAATTTCTTGTTTCCCTTCTAAATGAGATTACCTTTACATTGACCCTTCCATTCGAGAAGCTAGTGGTCTTGCCCTGCCGATGCAAAGAGAAAAAGAAAACATTAGAATGCAAGTGTACAATGTATAGGCATAAGGATAAGTATGAAGTATATGAGTGTGTTTGAGCACGATTGTGTTCACATGTGTGTGTGAGTGAGAGTGAGAGTGAGAGAGTGAGAGTGAGAGTGAGAGAGTGAGAGTGAGAGAGAGAGAGTGTGTGTGTGTGTGTGTGTGTGTGTGTGTGTGTGTGTGTGTGTGTGTGTGTGTGTGTGTGTGTGTGTGTGTGTGTGTGTGTGTGTGAATGCATATGTATAACTGTAGCGTGTATATATTTCTACATATATGTATGTATGAATGAAACATCAATCAGCTTTAGTTTTATATATAATCAATCAGCAAGTGACTAGCATATTAGCATCAACCAAAGCACAAACGCATACAGGATATACTTACAGAAAGCCATTCCTAGATTCCTAACAGGGGGATTATTACTGTAACAAACAAAGATCTATGTCAACAGTTAGCTCACCAGCAGAATACAAGCAACACCAGGAAGGGTTACAAGATAAATATATAAAAGAAAAAAAAAACATGCTATTGCTAAAATCTGTCGTGTGGATTCAGTGTGCAAGCCAATGCCTAAAACCATCTATGATTTTCTACTATAAAAATGCCTTTTTTATGTCAGGGTAATTTGACTGTTTTTGTTGTTAAAATGAAATACCAAATCTTTGTAAATACAAATGTCAACAAAAACACAGTTACAGTAACATCTTTTGCAAGATTCACTTGGAAAAATAGAAGCAAATTATATATTTGTTATTTCTTGAATATGAACTTTGGATATTTTCCCTTCCTCTTCCATTTCATCTTCATACACCTTTTGTGTCTTTCATTTCTTTCATCTCTTAAATACCTTTTTTACCCAACAACTTTCACCTTATTCTGTTACACCCCACTTTCAGTTCTTTCAGCTTTTTATACATACATTTAAATTTTTTTTCCCCTTCAAAATTTCCATCTTATTCTGTCTCCTCTCACTTTCACCTAAACTAAAATAACTTAATCTTAAAATACCTTCTTAAAATACAAGCCTGATCTACTAGTTATGTGTTTCTTTTTCTATCATCAATTCTAGGGTCGAGAACAAGAAGGGCCAATGTCTGAAAAGTCAATGTTGGGAAAAATGCCTTTGAAAGTTTGTTCCCTTAATTGAAATTCATCATATAATAATTCACATCATATAATCTTTCTTGTGACCAATCAAGCTGTGTTGCATTGATATAATCCTTTTGGAAAATGTTTGTACTTAACGAAAATAACAAATATTTCTCACGATGAAAACTAAATATAATATACATTCTTTACTGTGGTACAACAACAACAACAACAAAATGTGTTTTTTGCAGTTGAACTGATAATTTATATGACATTTATTTCTGTTGATGTTAAAAACATTCCTAATTTAATTTTTAAAGTTTTTCTACATTTTATGGCCTAAAAATGTAAATTAATAAAGATTCTTTGACAATAATTCTGTAATACGTTCACATCATTTTTTTTCCTTTCTGTAACTGTAAAATCTGTTCCCTGTTTACTGAAAATGGCATACTGACTTTCAGAAAAATATAGAATAGTAAAAGCAGCCAACCTGATGCTTTCTGTTGCCATGTATTGTGGCAATCAGTCAGGCATTAAGATATATGACTTTCAGTGAACTGCATTTCAAAATAATGCTTGTGTGGTGCCCCTAATAAACTAATGACATTAGCCTTTATAACACTTATAGGTTAGGCTTATATCAAAATATCCATTTTTGGACATTGGCCCTTCTAGCTCTCAACCCTAGAATTCACCTACTTGCATTTATGTGTAATCTATTCTCTGTGCCCTTTTTAACTCTAAAAGATCTGGATTTGCTTTACATTCCTATACCTGCTAAAACAGCTTCATCTTTTTTCAATTTCTATTTTGTCTATATCATATTTTTCAACTATGGTCTAGAAATCAATTTTTTTTTTACCCTTTCCTGAATGTGCTTTAATACATTCCATGAGACACACATTTCTCAATAACCGATCAACAAGACTTACATTATCTACATCAAAATACTCTTACATTAAAACAAGAAAAAATAAAAATAAAAATAAATCTTCTACAATTTCACAGCACATCACTTTAAATACAAAATATCAGTTGGGAGGAATTACTGTCTTGGAAAAATCATTTGAAGTCGAAGGGGAAATATTAGTTAAGGGAAAAACACAAATACACATATGAGGGAGAAGATGAATTATGGTGATGGTGATAATAATGATGATTGGGAAGAGATGGAAAAGGAGGAGGAAAAGGAGGAAGAGGAGGAGGAGGAGGAGGAGGTAGAGGAGGAGGAGAAGAAGAAGGAGAGGAAGAATAATAAGAAGAGGAAGAATAAGAAGACGAAGGAGAAGAAGAAGGAGAAGAAGAAGAAGAAGAAGAAGATGGTGATAATAATGATAGGTAGGAAGAGAAGGAAAAGGAGGAAAAGGAGGATGAGGATAAGGAAAATGAGGAGGAGGAGGAGGAGGAGGAGGAAGAGGAAGAGGAAGAGGAGGAGGAGGAGAAGAAGAAGAGGAAGAAGGAGAAGGAGAAGAAGAAGAAGAAGGAGAGGAAGAATAATAAGAAGAGGAAGAATAAGAAGAAGACGAAGGAGAAGAAGAAGGAGAAGAAGAAGAAGAAGAAGAAGAAGAAGGAGAAGAAGAAGATGGTGATAATAATGATAGGTAGGAAGAGAAGGAAAATGAGGAAAATGAAGAAGAGGAGGAAGAGGAAGAGGAGGAGGAGGAGGAGGAGGAGAAGAAGAGGAAGAAGGAGAAGGAGAAGAAGAAGAAGGAGAAGAAGGAGAAGAAGAAGAAGAAGACAAAGAAGGAGAAGAAGAAGGAGAAGAAGAAGAAGAAGAAGAAGAAGAAGAAGAAGAAGAAAGGAAATAAGAGGACGTGGAGGAGGAAGGGGAGCAAAAAAATCATGAAATATGTAAAAAGAAAATTAATGGATAAATCAAAAGGAAAAAACAAAATCAAGGAAAAGAAACCAAAATAAAAGTAAACTATATATATATATATACATACACACACACACACACACACACACACACACACACATATATATATATATACACATTATATATATATAT